GTTTAAAAAGTATGAAAAATCAAAACCTTGTGTATAATGCTACCACGAATTTTAGATAGACTTCAGGATGTTTCAATCGTTGCGATTCGCCCTCTAGTGGTGAAATAGATTATTTGGGAACACACACTTATGGGCATGTTTGTGGCTTCAGAGCAAGGAGGAGTTGTGCGAGCTTCTGAAAATGGGCCACAAAAACCAGTTGTTATAATAGCAAGATGAACATATCAGAACGCAAACARGCAACCAACATCCACATCTTATTTTCATGGTTAACAAAGTTTTGGTGGTTTAAAGAGGAAGAAAAACAACTACGGCTGTTATTTATTTGCTTCGCTATGCACGAGGTCAGAGTTGTAAAGTAACTAAGTACAAATACTTTACTGTACTTAAGTAGAATTTTGGGGTATATGTATTTTACTTGAGTAATTATTTTTCAGCCTACTTTTTACTTCTACTTCTTACTTTTTCACACAATTATCTGTACTTTCTACTCCTTATATTTTTTAGAAAGCAAGAAGTAGAAAGTTTAACTTTTATTTCATTTTGCTTGTTTTCATTCCAGCTTGTTATTGTAAAAAAATAAAAACTATCCATATAAACTGTGCCTCCTAGATAGAGTGAATTTAACTGTGGTTGTATGAGAAGTATAAATATATAAAACTCTGATAGTGTATTGGTTTGTACACAAACAAATCATGTCACACTCCAGCAGGACAGAATCATTMAAATAAAAGKACTGTACTTAAGAAGTATTTGTATTTCATGAATTATATTATTGCATTTGGCCTCAGATAGATTTTCATTTTGGGGAAAAGTTTTGTGCAGCCTTGATATATGTATATAAACTGAAACAGCTGGACTAGTGCATCCTAAATTTAACATCCATTCATTCTTTTAATACAACAGTCATTTCTGCAGTTTTTGGGGAGGTCACCTCCTAATAAATGTCCTTACGGAAAATCTAACTGCTCATTTTAAATCAATACTTTGACTTTTAATACTTAAGTACAAAAAATATCAGATACTTTAAGACTTTTACTCAAGTAATATTCCTAAAGTAAACTTTAACTTTTACCAAAGTAATTGTTTGGTAAGATACTTGTACTTTTACTCAAGTATCGCTTTGTGGTACTTTATACAACACTGCACGACGTACCGCAGCAGGGAGGGAGAAATTATAAAGATTTACCCCCCACAACACAATATTTCAGTTAAAATATTAAAAACTTATTGTGGTTGCACATTAGAAAAAGTAACACTCATCTATAATCAAACACACACTTTATGAATATTTTTTGGGGTTAAATTTCTCACATTACTCACACACATATAGTTTATTTATTATTTTTAGCAAAGTCGTTTGGAACGCAGCATTTACACAGTTTTTCTGCAAAAAGGCAATATCTGGTTGTATTTGTGTTAAGTTAATAATTTTTTGTTTAAACTTGTTTTCATAGGACTGAGAGAAGTTGTCACTGTCATCAGTCTAGGATCAATGGTCTCCAAGATTTAAAAAAGCCAGCTCTTCTGCCACCATCTAGTCCTCCCACACCTCTTCCATCTTCACAATCCAGGAAGGATCATGTTTCAGGGGATCTGTCTTTATCTTCCAGAAAAGAAAGTCATACTTTGTCCAGATCTTCATCTCATAACCATGTCAAAAAAGATACTGAAGATGATGACAAACAGACTACATCGAACAAACAAAGGTTCAGAAGCAGAGCAGAAACACACTCAGGTCAAACTGAACCAACAGACAGAAGATCTAGAGATGGTTCACGTCCCAACAAGGACTCTCGTTCTTCTGCGAAAGAATCATCTCACATAGAAGACAAAGCCACGGGACGGAGGGATGACTACTGCTCACATAAAATCCACAAGTCCACAATTGCTAGGGCTAAAAGCTCTTCTCAAGAGATTGTACACAAAAGACATTCTTCCTCTGACAACAAAAAAGAGGGCAGYCTAGAACGGAAACCAGATAAAATCAAAATAACTATTTCAGACTGTGACAATGAATATAAAAAAATAAGAAGTCATCATAAACCTGAGAGACACTCCAACTTGAAGGTTAAGAAAAACTCTTCTTCACGTCAACATGTTGAGTCTTCTGGTAATTTTCACAAAGAGAGGAATAGAAGCAGACAAAAGGATTACCAAAGTAAAGAGGACAGGAGGCACAAGGATGAAACCAAAAGAAGACATGAGAGAAGCAATCTGTCAGAGACAACCAAAAAACATGATCGATTGAACCCTAAAGAATTGCATAAAGAGGGTCTGGATCCAAGCGGAAGGAAAAGACAGGAAAGGACACGTGACGCAGTCAAAAAATTACCCGAAAAAACAGATGTGGATGAAACGATCTCTGCAAATATAAAAAATCCAAACAAAAAACTATGTTTCATGGAAACATTAAATCTAACCCTTTCACCAAACAAAAAGCCTCTGCATCCTAAGGATGGGAGTCCAACTGGGCTAACATCAGTAAAAGTGGGTGTTGAAAATGGACAAACTGAGGAAGACAAACAAATTAACATAGAAAACATGTGCATCATTGATGAAGTAGAGAACAGTGAACTAGAAACAGACTCAAAAGATATTAAAGACTTGTCTCCAGATGAACTCAAAGCCTCAAGTCCTGAGAGTATTCATAAGAGGGTTGATGATATAAAAGTCCAGGAAAAGGTCATAGTTTTGAGTGAAACGGCTGACAATGAAGTCCAAACCACGCTAACTCCCTGTCAATCTTCTGCTACTACAGAAAGTCGAGGGACTGAGCATCTCACACCAAAATTTACAGACAATAGTTCGTTTAAAGCAAAGGACAATTTAACACGCAATGAAGATGAAATAGAGCTTGTTTCTAACAGCCATGTCACTGAACCTGGAACATCACATGTAAACAAACCACAGCCCAGCGGCATGTCTGGAATCGTTTTCGATCATCAACCAAACTCTGCACTACAAAATATTCACTCTAAAGATGCTAAAGAACACATTGTGGCTGATTCAGATGAAAGTCCAGTACCCCTTAAAATGTCTCAAAATACAACTATAGAAGTGGCTGTTTCGTCTAACCCAGAGGACTTGAATGTCTTTGAAGGCAAGGCTGAAAAGATGAATCTTTGTTCATCTGATTCGTGTCAACACGACCTCTGTCCTCCTTCTTCAACCAGCATCACTCATGAAAAAGATGGTCTACAAGATGGCACTAAGAGTGTAGATTTTGTATCTAGTACAATCAGTCCGGATTCCTTCCCACAAGAAGAAATGAGTTTAACAGAAGCTATTTATGTTTTAACTAATGTAGACACTACTGAGAGCAGCAGCGCCACAACTCAGCCTAGCTCTTCCACCGACTGTATCGGAGTGTCCAAGGTTAGCAGTACGACTGAGGGAGAACCTCTGCCAGAGAAATACAGCACACCCARGAAGAGCTTCATTCCCTCAAAGATCCAAGAGACTAACACGAAGACGTCCAGTTCTGTGCCGTCACTTCACGATGAGGACTCAATGATGCAAACTTTGAACAATCTGAAGAAAATCCCCGATGCCATCAGCCCTCTGCGGAGCCCCGTGCGAATAACCAAACGAGCTTTGGTCTATGTGCACAACAAGCCTGGGCATGTTAAGAGTCTTCAAAAAGGTAGGATTTGAAAGAGAGATTAAGAAGAGATGATTAGTGTCTGGTTGTAGCAAATTTTTAGGCTGAAATAGTCTTTTCATTTTTATGTGATGTCATAGTTATCAACTGTTCCATCGGTATCAGAATACAAAGTATAGAGAAAAGATCAGAAATCTTCATCCTGTCYAGGCTAATAACGAAACTATGTTCTTTTTTTTTATTATTTTTATTTTTTTAACCATTGTCTGTCTTCAAGTTCTCAGTCACCTCTGTGGATTTCTGACATTTTAAATGTGGCCAGAACAGATTTTCGTCATCTGTGGGTGGTACTGTAGTTTATTAATTTTTTTCTCATTAAAGGAGTAAGGGGTCTCTGCAGTAGGTTTTGTCCTGTGGGCTCTGCTCGTGATTGGCGGAGGTCTTGATGTGRGCGGAGACGGCCCTACTCGTGATTGGCGGAGGTTTCGATGTGGGCGGAGATGGTCCGAGACGTGATTGGTCGGATTGACGGTGGGGTTTGAGGAGACTGGAGGCAGCTGGGGAGTAGCTTGGTCGAGTTGGGCAGAAAGTAACATTTTTTTAGATTAATTTTAGTCATAACTTGAGAAAGGAAAATGCTAGCTGTACGAAATTTGAACGTCATACATGTGAAAGGATGTGTAACAATACGGCTTGGTTAAAACATCCAGCCTGTAAAAAGATCACTAAAAATCAGTAGCTTTTTACAGGCTGGTTAAGGATGTTTTAACCAAGCCATATTGTTACACATCCTTTCACATGTACGACGTTCAAATTTCGTACAGCTAGCATTTTCCTTTCTCAAGTTATGACTAAAATTGATCTTAAAAAAAAAAAGTTACTTCCTGCCTGACTCGACCAAGCCACTCCCCGCTGCCTCCAGCCTCAAACCCCACCGTCAATCCGACCAATCATGTCTTRGGCCRTCTCTACCCACAKCAAGACCTCGACCAATCAATTTTCAAAGAATTGAAAAGTTATGAGGATCTCTTTTACATGAAAGTGAAGTGATCTGCAGAAAAAAGAACCTGAAATGTGTGGCAGCAGGCAGATATCCTATTGTAATATGAATAGAAAAAAATATAATTTATTTATTTATTTTGCTTTAGTCCACAATAAGGTGAGTATATCAGTCCAAAACTTTACTCAACTCCCTGCAGATTGATACATTGGTTCACTTTTTCCTTCAGCAGTAGGCAAGACTTAATACTATCTTGGACGCCCAGCCAAACTGCAAATCAAAAAATATTTGAAATGAGAATGGAAATAATTTTCTGGATAAGAAACTGCACGTGTATACGACTCCTCAAGAAACAATTTCTCCCAAAACCAAAAGAAATGAAAGAAATCCACAAGTGCGGGACTCTCTTTATGTTACACTCTTTAAGCATCTTTAAAATGTATCTGATGCTTCTGGAGTCTTAAAGAGAAACTGATCAAAAGTTATAAATAGGCACTTTTTTTATCTGTTAGCCTACGTTGGATGAAATCTTCTGCTGTTTTCTTCATTTTCAATGCTTAATAATGGACGTCACAGAAAATATATTAATAACTATTGATGGCTAGTAGACAAAACATCACTACAAAAATTCCAAGACTATCCTTTATGTCATTTTGCAAAAGGACAGTGCCTTTTGCAAAATGACACTTTTTGAGTATGATTGTCAGAAATTTATAATTTTCCTGACCTCTGATTTTACTTTGTAATGTGTTATAAAAACATATTTAAGAAACTTAATAATTTCCTTTTTTCTTTTTCAGATTTTTCCATCACCTCTGATCCTAGTTCAAAGAAGCTGGATGTAAACAAAGAGAACAAATATCCATGTTCTCCATCTAACCATGACACAGAGAAGTTGGTGAAAGAGGTGTCTGACGTGCCTCTAAAGCTTTCTGACACAGAGCTGGAGGAAGGAGAAATTTTAAGTGAGAGTGAAGAGACTGCTTTAAGTTCGCCTGTTCCTGCTGCCAAAAGGCCAAAGCTAACAGAGCCGGTCAGAAACAAACCAAGCTCTCCATCTGTTTTACAGAGCAAATCTGCAGAAAAGCCAGTTGCTTTGAAAGAAACTCATGAAACGGACGATGCGTCGACACATAGTCCCAGGAGTCGTTTTAAAACCGTTTGTCCTGCAGGAAGCAAAAACTCTTTTTTCACCATCGAGGAAATAATGGAAACGTTTAAGTTGGTTCGCGCTGAGATCCGGAAAAAATACATGAAGCTTCATAAAACTTTTCCAAAGAGAAGTTTCTATGGTATGATGGACAATTTTGAGAAATCGTTTTTAGAGTTTGTAGACGGTGCTAATTTTAGCCAGATCAGCGTTCAGGCAGAAGAGCTCAAGTCCAAACTTAAGAAACTTATATCGTCTGTTTTCAGCAAAGTGATAAATAATGGCATTGTGAAACGCATTTTTGAACAGCAAGCGATTGATTTGAAGCAGAAGTTGTGGGACTTTGTAGACGTTCAAGTTAACTATTTGTTCAAGGACATACAAACAACACTGAAGAGCCTATGCAAACCAGCAAAAGCTCTGGCTGAGGACAAGAAGTCCAGCAAAGAGAAAAGAGAGTCCCAACAAAGCCCTGCTAAGAAACCACCGAAGGAGCCACATTTCCCCAGCTCCAGCCCTAACCTGACCAGTTCATGTGCTGTGATTCCTTACAAAACAGGCCTAGGAAGCAGAGGTAAAGACATTCGAATGACATTTGYAGAAAAAGACGGCCAAAACACACAAACTGTGGTTGAGAACCTCCAGTTAAAAACTCTTCCCTTGTCTCCTGAGAAAAACAAAATAACCTCTTTGGTAGTCTCTCAAAATTGTTCCATGGTTGACAAAATGGACTTCGAACTCCTCACAGAACAGCAAACCTCCAGTTTGACGTATAACCTGGTGAGAGACTCTCAGATGGGAGAAATATTTAAGTGTCTCCTCCAAGGATCGGACTTGTTAGAAGGCGGTGGGATCACAGGGGACCACACTTCTTTGTCTCTTGGAACACCAAGGAAAGATGAAGAGAGGTTCCTTAGTATCACCACGCCATCAAAGTTAACCTCCCCTTCCAAGTTTGATATGCCACACAAGCTTATTGCTACATGGAGTAGCATTTCACCTCACAAAATACTATCTCCACGAGTCAAAGACCAGACGCCTCTGAACCCGGCTTTATTCGATGAAAGTTGTCTTTTAGAGGTTCCATCAGAAAGAGTGCCACTGCAGGCATCACAGAAGTCCTATTCTATTCTAGCAGAAGACCTAGCTGTCTCCCTTACCCTCCCATCGCCTCTCAAGTCGGACAGCCACCTCAGCTTTCTGCAGCCATCAAGTTCAAGCATGCAGATGTCCACTCCAGAAAGTGTAATCAGCGCACACATAAGTGAAGATGCCCTACTCGATGGGGAAGATGCCACAGAGCAGGACATTCACCTGGCTCTCGATACTGACAACTCCAGCTCGAGCAGTAACATGGCCGCAGAAATCCTTGCAACCCCTTTTGTCTTCAAGCTTGAAGTGCCAATGAAAGCACTGGTGATGGAGAAGTCCAACGATCACTTCATCGTAAAAATTCGGCAGGCAAAGGCAGCCGTAGACATCTCGCCGACTTCTGAAGAACGCTTAAGTGGAGCATTAACAGACCAAAACCAGCGATGCAGCGACAATGTTGGTCTTGATAAGGGAAGTCAAGCTGCTAGTCCTTGTCTACTTTCAGAAAACAATCTCTCAAACATTGGTCAAGCAGACACATCTGTTACTGTGCCTGAGAGCATAACTCTTCTAAACCATGGACCACACAAAAGCCACGGTTCTGCTCAGCAGAGTCCATCAAATGATTGTTTTACAGAGGAGCGTGTGGAAAACCTGCCTGCTTACACTCCCACAAATAACAATCAGATCAATTCTGTCTCCACTTCTCCCCATCGTACAGTTACAAATGATACAAAAAGTCAAGAACACAAGTCAACATTTTCACCATCTGAGTTCAACAGCTCTTTGCAAACTACCACAGAAATCCCTGATGCAATTCAACAGAGCCAGGCACATGTCTGTGACTTGGGAAGAGATGAAACTGATGAGTCCAAGTTTGAGAAGAGTTTCACCATCAATACGGGTATCTCACCAAAGCAAGAGCAAAAGGTRGACAATAACATTAGGAAAAGAAAGAAGCCCCAAGAACAACTAAAAAGCAAAAGGTCCAGGAGCAAGGAAGAGGATAGTCCAGGGAAGACATGTCCCTCCAAGAAGAGTAAAGACTTCCAGTCATCACCTGTAGCTCTGTCACCCAGCAGGGTGTCAGCGAAGAATGTTGTTAAAAAGAAGGGCGAGGTGGTGATGGCATGGACCAGGTCAGTAGCTGAATAATACTARCGTGTTTTTAGTTTTACATTTTTAGTGTTCAGCTAAAATAATTACTTCTGTCTTTAAATGAAATTCCTTCATCGGTTGGCAGGTTATTTGGTGTTTGGTACATGGATTAAGTAGGTTTTCTGGATGGGTTCTTCTTTAGTGAAATGTATCGTCTCTCCTCCAAGGACTTCTTCAGTCTGATGAGTTTCATGTGAACTCAGCCTTATAAGCACTGCCTCCACATAGTGGACAAACAAACAGGTTAGTCACATGAAAAAGAGGGCCATTGCCTAACAATAGGCTTGATTAGYTCTATTGTTCAYAGAGGGTCWTGTGCCCCATCACCTGACCCGTGTCGTGTTATGCGTATGTAGTGAATGCAAGCGGGGGTTCAACGTCCCCTTGTTTTTGTCCCTCTAATAAACATGAGCTTTGTCCCTAATAGAGCTAATCAAGCCTATTGTTAAGCGATGGCCCTCTTTTGCATGTGACTAACCTGTTTGTCCATGTGGAGGCGGAGCTTATAAGGCTGAGTTCACCTGAAACTCATCAGACTGAAGAAGTCTCTTGGAGGAGAGACGAAATGTTTCACTAAAGAAGAACCCATCCAGAGGACCTACTTATTTTTTCTTTTTGATTTAGATTTCTAGTTCCCAGTTAATTTATGTCAAATTAGAGGACCTGATACCCTTTGCAAAAGTTTCAAACATCACCTGAAATTTTACTGAACAAATAGTTTGTTGTGTTGGTACATTTATGTTTGTGGTACAGGAAGAACATAAGAATTTATGGTGGAAACATAAAAGATTTTTGTTCCATCTCATTCAGGCATGAAGATCGAACTATTCTGGTGGATCTCCGGACAAATGGTGCTTCACGGGAGACCTTCTCTGCACTCTCTGAGAAACTCAACAAGCCATCAAACCAGGTGAGTCTTTCAAAGCCTGTAAGCCATAACCTGACCTGTCTGTTGGAGAGACGTTGGTGAACAACATTCATGCGGACATCCCCAAAATGTCTCAAAATATCATGACAGTTTGATGTCACAGGCACTTTACAGAGGGTTAGCAAAATAGTTGCTGCGAACCGCTCCGGTGAGAGCTGGAGATCAGGATCTGAGGAGGCCAATAGGACCACATCATCTTCAAAAAGCAGAGATGTGATCCTAATGTCACCAAAAAGGATCCCCTCAACACCTTGGCTACAAAGTGGATTCCAAGTAGAGGAGCAGGCAGAGTCTTCATAAAGTCGAGCTAGAAAAGAGTAGAAATAAAGTAAATGCTGTCGCTCCTGAGCAAACTCCCATCTCTGCGGCCCCCCACTTTGAAATACACTGGCCCAGGATAGTTTAAAGGGCCAATATTATGTGTTTCTCAGGCATATATTTAAATACTATACCATAATAAAGTATCTATGTCACCTTTAGCTGTTATTAAAACGCTGTTTT